CAGTGTTAGTCAGTAATACAGCACTGCCCCACAGGGGTGCCTAGGGATTTCTGTTCTTCAGCTTGGGTTAAGGTTAATGGATGAGATGGGGGTGGCTGGCATTGTGTAAACTTTTTAGTTCTTAATAATAGAAATCACAGAAATCTTGTCTGCTTCTTGGAAGTGTTTGTCCATTGGATCTTAAACAGATTTGGCAAGAAATGCAGGGTAGATGTGAGGTCAGAACGTCTGTTCGGTGTTCAGAGGAAGTAACTGCCCTATGAAGAGTTTCATTAAGAGTTGTGAGGGCAAATTCCCCATATTTACCATTTTACCACCACAGTCACTGCAGAATATTTTTTGTGAAATGAGCAAAGCTTAACACCTTATGCTTTGCTCATTTCACAAAAAGGCCAGAATCATGCAGCAGAACTCCTCATTTAAAAGAAACTATGGTCAGGCCTTTTTGAGCAGTCTAACTAGAAACCAGTGGATGATTAGCCTGAATCTGTTGTATCATTATTTTTATCTTTTGCTTCTTGTTTTGAATGTCCTTGCCAACAAAGAAAATAAATCTATGGTATAGTTCATTTTTGTGACCAGGGCTGTTATATTACAATGTAAATTAAATGTTATTTTGATTTGATCATTTTATTACTTGTATAGCACACTCCCAACTGCCCAGACCTTTAATGAATCTTGGCCTCATCAATCCTACGAGTCGACTCAAACAGCCTGTGAAAGTTTGGAATATTTAAACTCTGAAATTTAGACATGCAGCATGTCTCAGAGGCCACTGCCAACAAAGTAATTCCCCGTTACACTGTGTGTAATGTGATGGTGGAAGCAGTCCATCAGTTGGGATCAGCCTGCTGCTTCTACAGGACCAATGAAAGCCCTGAGGCTCCAGTATCAGGTGCCCTTGCTGGATGAATTCAGGGAATACCCTTCTTGTTTTTCTCTATATGAAAGCCAACCTTGGATCATTGATTGTCTATAGGTTTTCAGCCCCAGCGATGTCTTGTGGTCCCATTACAGAGGCTAAATTGAGTGCATCTTGAGAATAAAAAGATAGCAACAAAGGGATAAAGTAGCATTTAGGCCCAGATCATCGGCTATGTAATGCAACGCTGCTGGTGGAAATTGCTCTTAGGCCGCGATGCATCCAGAGTATTGGTTCAATGAAGACGGGCAAGACATGATGGGAATGTAGGTGAAGTAAACACAGACTGTCTCTGTCTGTACTCTCTGAGTCTGTGTCTCTTTAGGGTTTTATTCTTATTTCGATCCCCATTAGCGGACGCCTGAGTGACTGTTTCTCTTCCTGCTGTTGACACAACACTTTATGACACAGTTGGCATCTTAGGATAGACTCCAAGTACTGCATTAACAGTAAGAGATATTGGTGCTGACGAGAAAATCTTTGAGAAAGAACAAGAGAGAAGACGAGGAAACTTCTGTTTGTTTCCCCGTTTTCTTTTCTCATACTATTTTACTTATCTGTTATAGTCTGTCTTTTCATTCTCACCCCATTTTCCTTTCTCATATACTATTTTACTTATCTGTTATTGTCTGTCTTTTCATTCTCACTCCATTTATCTTTTTCCATTTTACTTTATATGACTTGCTTCCTTGGTGTCTCTCACCCATATAATATACCTTTCGAACTGCTTTCTCTTCTTATTTTCCAGCTTATCATCATCTTGAACTTTCTGTTAATTTTACTCACTCTCATCATAACTAATTGAAGACATATTTTCTAGATTGAATATATAGTTTTACCTTCTCATACCACCTCCTGTATCACTTTCATAGAGCTTTCCATAGCGCTGCTGCCACCCACCACCCCAACCCCAACCCCTGCCCCGGCATATTATATTTTAGCCAATACTGTATTGATCAGACTAATACAGCAGAGCATGAGCAGACGGTCGGACGGCGTTCGGTTATAAACACAAAGTAATGAATAGAGTGATAAGCAGACGGATGAAGCCCCCAGTGTCTCTGTCTCTCTGCTGTCCATCAATACGGCACTTATTTGCAGTAGCGTATCGGAATTTAATCCCATGTTGGGCGGAATTGATCGGTATTTGTGTGTGGAGGGCTTCATTTAACCTTGGTGAGTGCAGAGAGAGAAATGGATAGAGTGACAAAGGTTAGGTAATTATTTGTTATTACTTTAATAATAATAATAATGCTGCATATTCATCTTTATTGTCAAGTAAATGATTATACGTTATGCTGACTTCTATATGTCATTTGTGTAACTTTCTTTGGCTCTCTGTTGCAGTCTCTGTTTTGGTCCCTCTCACTGGAATCCAATTATTATCCAGGAAATCTAATTAATATCCGTCTAATCTAATTAATATAATCAGGTAATATCCGTGAGTGCTTTTGAGTTTCCAAACATACTAGTAAAGCAGATAAAACCTTTCAGATTATGATATATCCACTGAGACAGATCGAGACACAAATGCAAATTAGACATTGTAGTATGAAATATAGATTGTTAGATTCAAACCCATGCTTTCTGGTGCTACACACTGTGTGGAAAAGTGAGTAAACTAGTTAGCTTTGATTATGCTTACTGATATCTATGTTTCTGACATCCTGTAGATAATTTCAAATTCTAAACCGCAGCACCCAGCAAAGAGAAACAGAGGCAGCAAGCCTGAGAGACAGAGAATGAATTTAATAATAAATAGTTTGGCAGCCGGGAACAGATAGAGCTGGATGATAAAAGGGAGAGACAGATGAATGGAGCTTGGTGGCTTCCCGTAGGCTAGCCATGCTATCACCTCTCCACCAGACTCTGCTCTCAGCAAGATGGCAGCTCCGAGACAGTAAACAACCCCTGTGTGGATGCAACAGGAGGGATAGAAGGATGGGAAAAGAACAAATTTTGGACTAAAATTACTGATAAACAATATTTTATGCTGATTATCTTTTTAAATTTGACCATTTTCATGCCTGAAAATTTTGAAAAATCCTGTACAGCATCATGGGAAACCAAACCCAAACAGTGGAGAGTCAAACTGGATTACAACATTATATGAGAGGTAGACAGAGCCAAAGGTCAGAGTTACCTCATCCCTGACCGTGTTAATAAATGAGACAGAAAAGAAGAAAGAAAGGACTTTAGATAACAGCTGATTAGAGTAAATGAGGTAGACGATAGAGGAGAGGGGGATTAAAGGAGTGATTCAGCAATGACACAGCTTCCAAAAGACTTTTTCTATCTGCTGAGGATAATAATTTCCAGCTATAAATGCAGTATACATAGTGTATGTACATTATGGTATATACACTAATATACTTCATTATGGATGGTTATTTTCTAACCATCTCAATGACTCAGGGCTAAACGAACTTCCAAGAACGAACTTCCAATCTCTCTGCAACAGCTACTTAACAGAGCTTGTTGTGACATGGTTTTCTCTTTAAACTCTATAATCACATTGTATTCTCATCCATGTTCTCACTGTGTTCGACTCCCTCCAGATAGAAGAGGAGAATGCGGCTCTGCTCGCCGCTCTGACCGACAGTTTGGATGGCATGGTGGATGCAGAGGTGGGCGGGCTCTCCGTCTTCCCCGCCCTGGGAGAGGAGCCTGACCAGGAAGAGGAAGAAGAAGACAGCCTTCCTCTCACAGTCGAGGACTTCAGCCAGTCCCTGGGGGCCGAGACGGAGGACCCATCTCTCGTAAGAACGCATTTATACTTCCTGTAGACGGAACAGTTTCTTTCTTTTACCTTTGCTGTTGAACAGTGTAATTGAGAGAACATCAAGTGGAGGGACCTCTGATCAGAACACTCATTTCCACCCGCCCTGAGGGTCCCTGACCTCACTTTTGCAACCCATATCTGAACATTTACCCCCGTTTAAGAACTTTTATCTTCATCTCAAATACTCTTAGGTTTTTTTTGTCAACGAAAAAGTCTCTTGCAGCCCAAAACACGCCGCCTGTTGAAGTGGAGCCTTTCATACGTGCTTCAAACACCATCCGCTCCCCCATCTCACACCCGCCACACTGTGACTCTCCTTTCCCATGCTCTACTCTCTCTTTCTCCCCAGTATCTTAATCTGTGTCGCGTTTGCTAACCTTGATGTTCCCCTTGTTGGCCCGCAAGGTTCAAAGTCTGCCTTTAACTCCAGGAAAACAGAGGGGCGCTCAGGCACACAGTGTCCTTTCATCCAGTGCGGTCCTGTGTGTGTGTGTGAGAGAGAGTCTGTGTGTTATATTTCTGTATTTCTAAGGACCGTGTGTCAAAAAGTAAAAAGCAAGATAAAGGATTAGGACATGTTGCAGATACTTCATCAAGGAGTTTGTATATGAATGAAATGTGGATTGGGCAACGAATAGAATTATAATTAGCTTTCAGTTAAGTCAGTACTGTATAAAAATGTTGAACTATCTAATGGTTATGCGTATTTTTTAAGTTAAAATCAAACAAATAGAATAACAATAGCAATGTTGTGGTGATGTTCTCATATTCACAGCTCTCAGCAATTACTTTAGTGAGTACAAAAAAATAGAAAAGATGGCTGAAATGAAAAAACAAGACCCAAATTGCGATAGACTAGATGGATTAAGTTTAGGTTCAGGGATAAAAGTAGTTAAAAGACTTTTATGTGTGGTCTTTTAGCACGTGCTCCAGTTTATGTGTTTGCTTGTTTTCAACCCCATTCCTCCCCCCCTCTCTCTTTTCACACAGTGCTGCTGGATGCCTCTCTCTCCCTAGGCCCCTCCATCATTCCCTGAACCCGACTTCTAGGAAAAAACCTTGTTTTTCTCTCTTCACTCTGTCGCCCCCCCCTGTTATCAGCCCCTGCCCGCACCTGAACCGCATCACCCCAAAAAACATTAAACCTCCATCTCATCATACAGGAACAACAAATTGCTGTATCTCTTTACAGGGAGTGTTGTGCCCTACTTCCCCCCCGGTTCCCTCTGCTGTCAGAGGAATGCAGGCCTGCGCTCGGCCTGGAGCTTAATTGAAGCAGGAAGCTATTTCACCGCAATAAACGACTTATGATTACCGCTGTAATGCGGCCTTATTGCACTTGTCAAGATGAATCCACCCCGCTTCCTTAATTTGACTTAAATTTCACAGCAAATGGGGCTGCTTACAGAGTTTTGTTGTGCACTCTGATTTAGCGGCAGTCTACAAAGATGCTATTGTTTGCCGACCATGAGTCATGGCGGATGGCTGAATACCTACAGCGTAAATATTCACTGAGCTGCACTGCCTCCCATTTGCATCTACACACCGAGTCGTACTATAAAACAAGACTGTCAGTGAAGTCAGAGGAGGTTTGTTAAGCTCTATAATGAAAGGTTGGGTATTAAGCAAGCACTTTAGGTTAAAGGAAGTAAACAGGACTCAACAGGGCCACCTCTTAAAGCTTGCAGAAAACGGTCTGATGATTAATGAATTACAAGTAGTGAAAAGGGAAAAAAAAGCTAAAAGAACTGCTTTTATTAATGACTACTAAGACTATTACTACCACAGGCCAACTTCAACCAATCAGATCAACGAACCAGTAACCCTGTTGAGGACAACCTTCAGAAAAAGTCTCCAGTTCTGAAATAACTGATACTAGCAGCATCTTTAGCAGCCGTCGCTGTTGTTTTCGAGTAAACAGTCGCTCCTCACTGCTTCACACTGCTAGTACTTCCTCAGAGGATGCTGATTGTTCCGAACCACTGTGGTTCGGACACAAGCACATAGCTTGAAGCCTGGTAAGATTCTCACATGCCTACGTTATCTCATGAACTATGCAGTCTTGCAAAGTAAGCAGTGACTTTCATTTAGTGCCACCCTGAGGTTGACTATTTTTTGACTTTAAGGAGCTGGGATCATATTTTACCTTTATGTTTATTTAAGACTATACTACCACTGGTAGCATTACAGGATCTGGCATCTGAGAAACAAATGACCAGAGGAAGGGACATTCCTTCCAAATTGGTGGAAATGATGATGACTGTAATGACCTTAGATGGTTCAGTACAGGAATAAGGATAGTTTGGCAGTCCAGAAAGCCAAAAAAATGCCAAGCCTCACAGCAATAACCATTAGTGTGAGGCTAATACTATGCTGGCATAGTAACACAAACAGGACACAGCGAGACAGAACTGGTTTTGTTTCTGTTAAATTCCATGGAGGTATTGTTTAGTCCAAAACAACAAGTCAGTGATACCGTGAGGTCAAGCCACCAGATGCCATCGTCTTCGCTGTTGTGTTGCAAAACACTGTCGCCCCACGCATGACTGCCCTGCCCTTGTTTCACCTTGAAGACTCCTTGGTTATCAGTCAACTTCTGTCAAAATAAGAATGAGTATAGGCTAGTTAATCAGTTACGCCTGCCAGTTTTCTCAGTTTCCACCTCCATCTAAGAAACAGTGAAGGTCAAATGAGAAGTGGTATGCTCTGTTGGGTAGTTACTGATATAAACTGAGACAAACCTGATTAACTGCAGTGTCCTCCATCATGCTTACATCATCTGTCAGTTTGGTGTCTTGGTCTGGGAACTTTATGATATGACTACAATGACTAAGGGTGCAAACAACACAACTTTATATCATATATCACAACTTCATGTCACATATCATCAGTATGAGAAATATCAGTTTCTTTAAGCATCATTAAAAGGTGGAAGAGACTGGGAAAGAACATGAAGCAGATCGACACAGAGCAGAGATCGGGGAATGATGATGTGACGTTTAGGGACAGATGATTGTTGAATTTGCTTTAAACCTTAATGGCACAAATTAATCTTAAAGGCTAAAAAAGGCTACGTAACGCAATCTTAAACCTAAACATTTAAACTATTAACATGAACTCAGCTTACGTGTTTGTGCTCTGCATTCTATCGCTGCTCATTATTTATCCTGCAGCAGCAGCACATGCCATTCCAGCTTGTTTTCCTCAATGACTGTAACAGTAGAGCTGAAAAAGTCTTTGCCATCCCCAGACACACAACACTCTCTTGCTTCATTCCTCTGACAGCTGGCAAGATAACACACTTTTCCAAAAGTTTCCTCAAATACACACAGGTTCCTTTTTCTGTCACGCAACCACATAGGAGGCTACTACTACTACTACTACTACTACTACTACTACTACTACTACTACTACTGCTGATGCTAGGCTGCTACTACAGTTTCTACCTCTACTTCTATCTCTGTTCTTGCCACTGCAATGTTTGTACTAATTTCCCTTGGGTATTATCTTGGTATCGCCTTCAGGCAGCAAGTTTGTGACTAGCAAGACAAGTTAAGCCTTCTATGGCTTTGGGGGATTCAGTTTTCTGTGTCTGAAGTTATGAGATGCCTAATATCAGTTACATGTGAGGAACACTGGTGAACAGTGCTGGGTGTTATCTAATAATAGAATCTACCAAAAATAGTCCCACAGCTGACAGCAGGAATATCATTTTCAGAATTTTTAATTTGAGAATTTCGATGAGGAAATGTTGCCTTGACAGCCTACACTTTGTCATACGTTCAGTAGTCGAGTTCTGTTTGTGATGGAACGAACACTCCATCTTCACTGTCTCTTAACAACAACACTACTACCACCATTACTAGCCACCTGTAATAGCCACTTAACTGTAGTAATAGCAAACCTTCCACAGTTTAAATGGCTGTTTACATTGCTACAGTACAAGTAGGCCTACCTATATTTATATCCGAGCTCCTCCATCACCCAGTGGTTTTCTCCTTCTGCCTGGTTAATAATGTTTTCTACTCTGGTATTTTGCCCAAGAAGAAAAATCCATCAAAACAAAAATAATTCAGCTTCATTCCTATAAACTGACTAATTTGTAAAAGTTACATCATGACTCATAAGACTGAAGGATTTCTTTAGAATGATTCACTTGTCAGAAATGCAGTGTCTCAAACTCTGAGGCTCTAGCAGCCTAGTTCCACAACCAACTCCAGCACCCCCAACAGGAAGCAGAATATTTCACTTTACTGTATATAAATTATATTATCCTGCATCCTCGCTCTGTTTCCATTGTGTAAACTATCAGTGGCAAAAATAGCAACCTGACATTCACATCCACTCACACAGAAAAGCCTGGTGTAATAACATTATGCTGTTTACTCGACTGAAGCTGCCAGATGTGTGTGTGTGTGTGTTTGCGTGTTCTCCCTGCCCTATTTCCATCAGTTGAGTAGTTTACTGTCACATGACTGCTGTCACTCATGTGTTCAGACCTGAGTGTAGTGCTGCCCTCTACTGGTGAGAAGTGATACTGCAGAGTGTGTGTGTGTGTGTGTGTGTGTTCTCAAGGGCAATACACACTCAACAGTCTGTTTGAAATTTTATCAGCTTGATTGGATTCACATTAAAAGATATCCACAATTTATTTATGAGCCATCAAACATTTAATTAAACATTAACTAGTCATAACTCTAATTAAATCCAATTATATTCTTGTCTATTGATTTGTATGCAATGTAATTAACATATTTATAGGCTCATATTGATGTGTAGATTTTGGCGGCCTATACAACATAATGAAAAAATAACTTTAGGCTTACTTGTCGCAGATACATCAACAATAAATCAATTGCGGGATTTAAATCAGACAACTGAAAATGTATTTGGAAATGGTCTCCACAGTTTCAGTGCTCCTTGTCATATTCTCCATGTCTAACATGCTGCTCCAAAATCTCCCAAAGGTGTTCAGTTGGGTTGAGAGTCGGTAACTGTAAAGGCCAAAAGACATAAGGATATATACAAGGATCACATAGCTTTCATACCATTCAGTAAGGCCTGTATAGAAGCATATGTATTACATCCTCTAGCCCTTTATTCAGGGTTTTCCTCTAATTTGTCTTCCATCTGTATCTTGGATTATTGTTTTTATTACATTAAATTATAATTGCCGGCTGGATTGCCATTGAGAATGGTCACATTGCAAGTGTATTTTGATGAGGCATAATTAGACATCTGAAATATAATTTATGAGAGCTATAAGCTAAACCATTCAACAGCGTTGTATGTCCAAATATGAACTATTTCTGAACTAAGAGGAAAAGCGATTGCATATCTAAGTGGTATTTTTAAAGGTATTTCAGATGGTTTTAAAATATTTTTATGAGCCAGCTATGTTGTCAAAGAGAGCAACATTTAAGCCTTAAACATATCTGAAAGTGGAGATACGTGGTTTTCTTCTGTCTCTTCCTGCTTACATGTACAGTATGTTTGAGGTGCACCTTATTTTGGGTGTGTTCATGTGCTGCTACCTGTTGTAAACAGGCATCATGTGTGTTTGTTTGCATTTATTATTTATACTTATTATTCCATGTTGTTGTGTATTTGCTCCCTCAGTTTTTTTTCCACCGTGTGTATGTCACTCTATTCACGTGTGATTGCAATTGCACCTCCGCTTTTTCTAGTGTCTGTGTGTGTGTGTGTGTGTGTGTTTGTGTGTGTGTCCCACCACTGAACAAGGCCTCCATTGATGCTGCCAGTGGAGCTCTGGAAGGCGTCCAGAGTAGAGTAGAGCGGAGTAGAGTATTTGAGGGGCCCGAATGCTGCCGGAAGGTTTTCAATGTTTCACACAGACACAAACCTTCAGTCTCCTCTTCACTTTCCTCAATGGGAGTCTCAGAGGAGCATCATCGCACACTCTGAGCCAAGTTGGCTCGCCCACAAAGCGCTGTGGTGGCCCCATTAGTGATGCAGGCATTGGTCCTGTCAGTCATCTGACCCAGATAGTATTCTGTGGTTACAGCCAGCTCTGTTGGGTGGTAATGCTGTACTCATTACAGTGATATACAGTGATAGTGTAAATAGAACATGGGTTAACTATGACCCCTAGATAATGATCGGTAGCTTAATGGCAAACAACCAGCATTATAAACAATTATCTGTTGTATTTGCTTCAGAGAAGCATTTTTTTTTATGGTTTAAGCCTCATCAGTTTGATCTATAATGACCTTTCTCTCTATAATGTTTCACATTGCTTTCCTATGCCAACCTAAAAAGCCCATAAAGTAGTATTAAGAGCCTTTCTCAGATATATAGTTCCCCATATAAAGTTGAACTACAGCTGGGTCAGCAGGCTTGATAGATGTTATGGCGCCATCAGTTAGGTCCAGTGGATGATATGATAAATTTCAAAGCTAATGGCTAAATATATAACAAGGAGCTAGATAAACATCAACTTGAAACATGAGTTTTGTAGTTTTATGTCAGTAATTTTACAAGTTAATTTTAAGTAAATATTTTGATGAGGTAAAATGTTTTCAAAAATGATAATCTGAACACATAATGCTTTTATTTCATTCAATGTAAAATGGTCAACTATATAACTAGCCAGCAGGCTAACGTGCTAATTATGCAATATGCTGATAACTTAGTTCCTACTAGCTAGTGTCCACTCACTATAAACAACATACACAACAGAAATTAAAGCCTGGTGATTGAATGTTTAATGTTGAAATGCACCCTGGTAGATAGAAGAGGCCATAGGATATGATTTGCATCCGTATTACATTAGTACACACAAGAGAGTTTCTCGTCCGATGATTCAGCCGGGAGTTCCTACACACTCAAGCGTTGGATGAATTGTCAGGCACCTATGAAAACAAAGGGAACTTGTACTTACAAGGACACCCAGTATACTGTAACTTCTCCCCCTCTGCAACTCTTACTTTTCCAAACACAGAATTAACTTATCATTTCGAACTAACCTTTTCCCTCCCTTTTATTGCAATGGCCAAATTATATTCAATTCAGTTAAATCCAATTATTGTATTCATTCCCAGCAGGGATGGATTTGTCTACAGACACAATCAGGTGACCACAGTCACTGTTTCCCAAGTGAATGAGGACCTCCAATATGGCTGCCTGAGGGTCTGTCCTCTGCGTGCCGGGCCCTTTCCTGTAAATCATGCAGTGGTAAATCCTACTGCTCCAATCCTCATTCCTATCACATCTGTATTTTCTACATCGTCTTCTCCTGGAGCAAACGCTGCACAGCTTAGTGGGGGATTTTCTCCCTAAGCTGATTTATATCAGCTGATAGCCCTGTCATGAAACTAGGCACTGGAATGAATGGATGAATAGACAGATGAAAAAGAAAAGGAATGAAAGGATAGTGGGGAATGAGGAGCGGCTGTGTTAATTTCTATTTGAAAGGTATACCCAGGGTGGATTGGTTCTGTTTCCTCTCTGTATCTTAAGTGTGTCTTCCTGTTTGATCTAAAGGAAAGAGGAGTATGGGAAGAAGGAGGGATGGGGAGGAGGGAGTGAGAAGTAAAAGACAACATTAAGGGGGTTGGATGGAGAGGAGGAAGAGTAGAGAGTTGATATAAAAGTACATAAAGGTTTAGATGGTTGTCAAAGGTCAAAGATAGAAGGATGAAGATGAGAAATGGGGAGGTCATAGCAAGCAAGAGGGGGACATAGAAAAGGAGCTGAAAGAAGGGACAAGAACAGAACAGAGGATAGGGATAGCTGGTGGAGAGGGAGATGGAGAGGATGGGATGGGAGAAGGGGTGTTGGTACAAAAGGAGACAAAGGAGGGATGAGAAAGAAACCAGAACCATATAGAGGGACTGATGGAAAGTCCAGACTGTTGGGATGAAGGAAGAGGAGCAGAGGCCATATTGTGTTATTATTGAGAAAGAAGTGGCAGAATCCAGCTCTTTAATGGGAAAACGTGAATGTGCCATGTAGCTGTCAGCTTTAGGGATGTGATAAATGTACAGTATCATAACCTCATGGCCTCTTCTGCACATTATTACCTTGTACAAACATCCATCTGCAGGGCGTTAACAGCTGACAGAATATAGATTAGAAATTGGATGAAAGGCTGAAGGACGCTTTTATCTCACTATAAAGCTGGTATTCTAAATAAAATGTGTAAAAAATTGTAATATTTTACTACAGGTGTACCTTTAAGAGCCTCCAATCCTGTCATATACACAATTTACAACAACATAACATCAAGACTATCTTAGTACTCTAGCAGGAGAAACAGGTTGCCATGGACCCACATGACATTTTTGTAACCTGCTGTTTTAGGATCCGAATGATATCTAGGTAGAAGAATGTTGTTGCTGAAGGCCCATGGGGTTTGTTTGGTGGCCATCTTGAATTGAATTCTGTCCATCTTTCATTGACATGTTGGCTGCTGGTGTTGTCAGTGATGATGATGATGATGATGATGAGGGGGGAGAGGATGAGGCGGTTGTTAATGATGAGACGGACAATAATGATGATCAGTGAAAAGTGTGTTGATGACTCTTGCTTTAAATTAGTACTATGAGATTGTCATTATATATTAAACACATATGCTACCACTGTACTAACATTTATGGATGTTGATTTGCAAACTGCAGCCTAACTGATTTCTCCCACCCTCTTCCTCATTAGCTGAAGAAGCTGCTGCTGACTCCTCCCAACGTGCCCGCAGGTATCGACGCACACAAAGATAGAGTCCATGGACATCGCTATAGCAACAGAAGCCTGCACCTACGGCCAGTCAGACCTCTAGTCAAGGTGAGGCACGACTTACTGTGAATGCCTGCTGATTAAAGGTAGATTTGTCTGGTTGACAGTTTATGTGAACATCTTTTCAAACTCTCCCTTCCCTTATTCATCCTGCAATAAAACCCCAGCCTTTCCTCACTGTTTCTCAGAACTGAAGCAGTCCGTTCTGTTGCAACCCCAGACACACATCTCTGTATTTACTAGTTAAGGCCTCATTCCCTGTGTTTTCTGAAGGCTGGCGAGATAACAAAATTGGATTTTTTCCCCAATCACTTCCCCTCAGAGGTGGCGAGTTAAGGCAAAAGTAATTCACTGTTGCATGCAGAGCTTGCAGTCAGCATCACTGCCACCACAGAAGTCATCTTCAAGCAGGTGTCTGCCCTTGTTTCCTTCCGGCAGTCAGACCAATAAATAGAACAGATATTGGCATTTGATTATGATTTATCCCCACATTGTCCAGAAACTCAACACTAGAAAAGTTACAGTAATAGGTTGCTGAAGCTTGAAATGAACTATGCTGTTAGTTGTGCCCGTGCAAATAATGGCTGTTCTTTCTCAAAACCAAAGGTGGACGTAGAGTGACGTAGTTCAGAAGGATGTTCTGACTGTGACACCAGAGCCTACAGTTTGTATCCCGTTTCCTACCAACAGTCAGCTATAACCACAATCTTTCTTAAACCTTAACCGAGTAGCTTTAGTTGCCTAAACTTAACCAGCTCTAAATTTATAGGTTACAGATTAGAAAAGTTATGAATCGTAACAGGTATTGGGTCGCTTTGAAAGTAACTGCCATCATCAATCCCACCTAAAGTAATTTTCCTCACACTGGCTGTCTGGGGAACTTTGGCATTAAGGTTTAATTTCAGGCTTTTTAAACCCTGACAAGGATAAATCAGAAAGAAATCTGAAAAACTGTGGTCAAATTTAAAGAATAAAAACTGGTTTTCAGTAGCTTCAGTCCAAAATCAATGGTCATCAGTAATGGCGTTCAAGTACTTGTATTGGCTAAAACCTCCTCCTGACAGGACCAGGAAGAAAAAGGCAAACTAGCCAGCAGTTGCCCAGCTAGTACTAAACAGTTTTTATTTTCCAAATGACAGATATCTCATTTTAGACGAAAAGCTCTTTGAGACCTTCAGCTGCTGCCCATGATAGATGTGGTGTTTGGGAAGACAGGACATTTACAATGGCTACTGCTGTATGACTTAGCAGTAATTGGATAGGTGCTAGCATTGTGCTTCAAGTGGTCATTGATTACAACACCAGTCATTTATCTTGTACAAGCATAAAGCACGGTGAGCCTTCACACAGCCTTCTGCTCTGGCTCAAGCAAGGAGGACACAGAATACCCACAGGATGCGGCGCGGGGATAAGCCAAGCCTGTATCCATCACACTGCCTCCTAACCTCACTGTGTGTATGTATGTGTGTGTGTGTGTGTGTGTGAGCTTTAGTTTTAGAGTAGTGTGGCTTTGCTGTGGCAGATGGCGGGAGTATTGACTGACAGGGCAAGAGGGCAACAGTGAATCATAGTCTCTCTCTCTCTCTTTGTGAGTAATATAGAATCAGCCATTTCATTGCAGCTGCACACTGAATCATCCCTCACAACGTCGGAGGCAAAATTTACTGCTGTGTGCTCAGTGTTCCTCTATCCAGGGCAGGAAATTGAAGATACATCCATGCATTCATGAGTCTGTTTTGTTGTTATGTGGTTTTCTTGTTCCCTTGAACAACTGTAGACAGTGTGATGAGAGAAGTTTGATAGAAAATGAAAAATGTTTGATCTACAACATCAATAGTAAATATCAGGTTTTTGTGTCAGTTCACCAGAGTCAAGGATTAAGGGCTTTTTTCTAAGGTTGCCGTTTTGTATCGATGTCCGTTGACAGATGCCTAGATAGTGTTGCATTTGGATCGGTTAAAAGGCACTATTCATTTTAAGAAATGGGAAAAATCTTTACTATAATGTCAAATAAATTAAAGTCAATTACCTTTGAAGGGACATAAAATCCATGTGAAAATGTATTTAAACCAATTTGGATCTTGTGAAAACCCCCAAACAATACATAAATACATTTATTTTGTCATCCACAGGAGCGGAAAAACCTCCAAATTATCATAAGCGTGGTTGGATGTCTGGGTACTGATCAAGATGTCTGGTAGAGTAACTTACCAGACAGGCCGAATTTGCCAGTTGCTGGTGGTTATTTCACTCCCAGACTCTTATCAGTGACCGAATTATTCCAGCCTTCTGCAGCTGTTCTTGTAGTCTAATCTCCAGTTCGCAGACTTAACAAGATCAGTGCTACAGGTCTATATCTCTGTTTGCCCTCCTCTATTTATCCATTAATTTGGTTTAGTTCAGTGGCTCTTCATTGTCATACCACCAGCATCAGAGGTTGCATTCCCAAACCAGGAAGGAGAAAAACTGACGCTGTTGAAGATTTTTCTAATAAAACTCACTTCTGTTGATATGTGACTGCAATCGAAACATTTTGCAGATGGTTGGCTAAATGTTTTTTTCATGTAGAGAGCAAACAGTCTGACACTGGTATTCATGTTTGTGTGCCTCTGCCCTCAGAGTGACCTCCCTCAGGAGAGGAAGCCCCGAGCGGTGCGTCCTGCGGGCCGCCTGTGCACCGAGCTCCACCGCCACCTCACCACAGCCCAGGACTCAGAGGACGCCCCGGCCCCAGACACAGAGGAGGACGAAGAGGAAGAAGAGGACGAGGACAGTGAGTCGGAGGAGGATGAAGAGGAGGAAGAGGAGGAGTCTTCCAGCAGCGAGGTGGAGGGTGCGGCAGTTGCGGCCGCCGCCCCCGCTGAGCCAGCCAAGCCTCAGTTCAGCTCAGAGAAAGAACTGCACTCAGTTGTGGAGCTGATTACATACATGCACACCTACTGCCTGCCCACACGCAAGCAGCAGGGCTGGGAGCGCAAGGACCGGGACCTCCAGAGGTCTCGGGCCAGACCCGAAGCCCCCCGCCTGCAGGCTGCCACAAACTCTCACAGCAGAGTTGTCTTGGTGGCTACTCCTGGGACTAGTGGGGGCTTCACTGGGGCAGGCAACAGTGCCCCAAGGAGGCTTCCCTTTGCAAGGCGAAGGGAGATGAAGGCCAACTCCCTTCTCCGCGAGCTCCTGCAGCAGAGCAGCTCTTTCGATGTGAGCAAGCCTTACAGACTGCACAGCCCTCCCTACTCCCACTCCCACAGCCCCAACAGAGGAGGAGTATCTGCTTCTTCTGCCCTGGCTAAATCAGCCCCAGCCCACTCCCTAAGCTCCACCACCCCAAAACTGGAGCTTGGTAAAGACTTTTCCTCCCCAGATAGGAGAAACTCCTCCTCTGAGGCTCCTCAAAGCCCGGAGGAGATTGCAGAGGACGGCGGCTCCTTCTCGGTCCGGCGCTCCCGGCGTCTGGCCTCCTTCCCCAGCCGCTTCGCCAAGAGGCTGCGGCCTGGTCGGGCAAGGGAAGGAGAGGGGAAGGAAAGGGTCGAGAGGGAGGAGGGACGAGGAGGGGTCAAACTCCTGCCAACCCAAGCAGGAGGGGTAACTACGACGGAGCCAGAGCAGCTGACGTCGGGTGACTGCAGCGCCGGTACAACAGAGCCGACCAAATCCTGCTGCCACAGCGGTGAGATGGATAGAAAAGATACAGGCTTCATTCATACTACAGGCTTTTATTCTCAATTACTAATATCAGATTGTATGTGGATGACTCTAATTGTAATCCATATCTCATATAGACCATTGGAGCTTGGCCCATTGTTTGGCTGTCTTTCTATTCTTGTCTTGTCGTCCTCTGTGCTAACACTGGCTCGGCCAAGATGCTGTAGCACCGAAATTATGACAGATGTGACAATGTGAATGATCTAGGATTTACTGAATATCTTTGGAGATGTGAGTGTTGTAATGTAAGTCATATATACTGTAGCTCTTATCTCTCACCATTAGATTTAAAACGTAATCCATGAGATCCAGACAGAGTTGAAACTGCTGTTGGGACTGCTGATCACACTGATTATTAAGATCTGAGTCACATAAGGGGTGAGAGAATAGCAGTTGAAACACTCTACTGAATGTAGACCGTGGTACAAACACAGCAGACACACACTTTCATACTTATTCTTAATCAGGGAAAAATCACTGACACACATCCTCCGAGCATGCATGTAATGAAACACATGATTGTAACTGGCTTTTTATTGTGATTGCAGAAAAGCGAGCCTGCCTCTGTCTGCCTCTCAACCCCAAATCCACAGGGTGAGTATCTCTATAGAAAGTACCTGCTGGGTTTCATCATGCAGTAGTAGCTTGATAAAAGTACTCTAGCCTGCAGGAGTACTTAATGTTAAAGCAGAAGCATCAGTTTATAAATGTCTTTTTTGTCTACATCGTGCAATGAAAACACTGTACTGTAACACAACTATCCAGTAGTTCATAACCAGCTGTGTTGTGAGGTGAAAGGTCACCAATAGTGTTTTTTATTATTTATTTTGAATACTGAGAAAGATTGCAGCACCAAGTCACCAAGTTTATAATAAGGAATTCAATTTAAATATGTGTGATATCTAACTTTGTAATTAGTATCACATGATCCAAAAGCACACATTAAAGGGGCATTATTGCTTACTATTAATAAAAAAAACTTACTTCTAATAACCTTAACTGTTTGCATTAAAGTAAAAAAGCTGCAGAGGTTTCTGCAGAGCAGACAGGTGTAAGGTAAATGTCTCCTGGGAACTGCTGCAGGGGCAAACATATGCTTTCATTATAATGAAATGTTAGACCTGGGCCCGCAATGTAAACCCCTTCCTAAGATTCATAGTACTGAATATTAGCACTTTACAACCCATGCCAGACGGGTAGAAATATCAAATAGCATCTGCTTGTTATTAAATGACCCCAGCAGAAGTTTGTTTTATTTTCATTTGGGCTCACTATTGGGTCTGATAAAAGCAGTTAAGTGTATCTTTAATGGAATGTTATGTAAAGGATTCCAGCAAAGTATCAGTCTCAGTAAATGATTACACTCAAATTTAGCAGCGGCATTGTGATGAAACTTATAAACCTTACAAACAAATACTGTGTTGACCAAGTCCTAGTACTTGTATTTGCTTAAATCCATACCAGTACAACATGGCTGGGCTCTTTTTCCCCACATAGAGTCTGATTTAGATGGCAGCTTCTGTTCCACATTGCTGAGGAAACACTCAACATTATGGGAATGTTTATTTATGAGTACTGAGCGAGAGGCAGATTCCATTAAGGAGCAGAGGATTGTTCCAGCTATACTAATCTAATGCTTGTAAACATGCAAATTACTGCGTTAATCACCTTTGCTGCTATTTCTAAAATTCAGCACTAATTGATTTGATCCTATTTGGTGCATTTGTTTCATTGTCTTAATAATATAATTTAATGCTTCACAATCTGGCAGTAGTCCATCATTAATACATTTTCACTTCACAATTCACAAGTATTAAGTATTTGGTGTGGGGATTTGGTTGCAGGGTGGAATAAGCATCTGAAACAAAGATACAACACAATACTAATGTATACATTTACATTCCGCATACCATGTGTTTGACAGCGCTTTCTAGACCAGACCAGATCCTAGACGTGTGACCTAAAAAGCTGTGCGAAGGAACAATATGAACAAAAAAGTTCATGCTTCAAATGGAGTGCCGTGATCCATTTTTTTAGTACATCAGTAAGCACGGTTTGCAGTCATGTCCTGTATAAGACTGTATAATATTCTGAATGCTAAACCAGGCTCACATTCTACGATTTTATTCCAAGATCCCTAATGAATCAGGACCCCTGGCCGGCTTACTCAGATTTTAATCTATGCCAGACAGTGCCCTCACTGCTCTTACTTTTCTAAATTAACCTCCCATCCAGCCTCAAACCCTGGAACTTCTCCAGCTACAACCGGTCACAAAGCTGAATGTTTTTCCTGTATAAACCTCTGGCGTCTGTCCATCCTCTAAATGAATCTGTCTGCTGAAGCGCTCACCAAAAAACAAAAAGTAGGAGGTTTTTTTTTTTTTTTCGTTTTACTGCTTCCTGGAGGGTAACGTATATCCCGCCCTGAAGCCCAATCCACTCGGCACCGCTCTGCACTTTCATGGCAGGACTGGAGAAACACGAAACAGACAGCAGCAAAACACAAGCAGAAGAAGAATACGGGGAGAGGACAGCGGAGTACGTCTATTGGTTGTTTGTGGAGTAAGAAATGAGGAGGCGCTGAGCAAATGCCAAGTAAGCCACATTTACAGGGAGAAACATAATTCAGATTCAGGCAGAAATCAGCTGAAACTGTGCGTTTTTATTTAGGGGAAAAAAGAGCTTCACTGAGAGCCTTTAATGCTCCTTATTGGATTCCCGTTAACGTGAAAAATATAACGCCGACTTGACAAAATGACAACAGCAGTGGCCTTTAATTCTCTCTCCGTTGAGTTTCTGTTGTCCTCTTCCCCCCTCCAGAAAGACGTCCCAGTGCAGCAGCCCCAAAGCCTTTTGAGGGCAGAGACACTCCAATGGGATCTGTGTGGATACCGGGCAGGTAAGATACATGCTCCATGTTAGCACGCAACTGACTTGGTTTGGACATATACACTTCGATGCAAACAGGGTGGGCCACTCCTGGCTAAGAACAGCCATACAAGGGAACAGGATAGTGGGACCCAAATCTTATTGTTTTGGGATTTCAAGGAGGGCAGTCAACTGTCCGATTCTCCCTAGCAGCTGGAATGCTGAAAGTGTCTTCAGAGTTAAATGGAGAAGAGATCAATACCCACTCTCATGATCTGTAGAATCAGAATATCGAAGCTGGGAGGCCGAAGGGCAGGTTAGCTTAGCTAGCACTAAAAGACTGTAAACCAGGGGGAAGCAGCCCTAGCCGGCTCCTGTCCCAAAGGTAAGCATGGCACACAAGCGCAACACGCAAACGCTCAATGATTCAAATCCAGTATCAACTTTGTACAACAACCAACCCTGTAAACGTCCACATTATGGTGATATCGGGGGGGGGTTTCCTGTAGGCTAGCTTATGTTGGTGGTAGGCTATTCCCTCCCTCCCCCAAAGGTCTCACCTCCCACCACCCCACCCGGCCCTCAACAGCAACCAGTGGGAGAGATTAGCTCTTAAAACCGGGCAGACAATGCTTCAAACCGGCAGAGGGAGGAAAGGGTAGTGAAGGTGTAGGTGGTGGCAGCAGTGGTGATGGTGGAGGAGGTGGCAGTGAGTCTGTTCACCCAGCTTCAAACACCAACGCCGTCACTAAGGGCTCGTCCTGGCTGAGCCGCGCCCACCACCAGCGGAAGCTTCCGGAGCAGACGGAGCTGTATGCCCAGCTGCGGCGCATGGGCCAGGCTGGTGACGGCGATATCCATAGAACCTTTGGCGACCACGACTACTGTGCGCTGAGCGTCGGGGAGAGCCGCAAGCGTAGCGCTGCCATGCTTGGTGCCATGCTGCAGGCGCAGGAAGGGAGCGATGGAGTTAGCACCCTAACAGCCAAAGCAGCCAACGATCAGGTTTCGGATGGAAAGGACAAGGAGAGCAGGGAACGGCTGCTGGTGTCAGACGTCGCCGAACCACTTGAGAAGCAGACAGTGACGGTGGTGATATCATCAACGCCGCCGTCAGACTGCCAGTTGGCAGCTGCCACACTACCAGCCTCAGAGGAAGAGGCGGAGCGCTCGTCTGCGTCTCGCTCACCCTCGCCCATTCTCCACCTGTGTCCCGACTCCCCCGCCAGCAAGACAGACTCCAGGTGAGACAAAGCGGGGTGTGAAGATATGGGTCAATGAGCTGAAATAGGTTCAAATATGGACAGAGGAAAGCAAGAATGAAGCGGGGGAAAGGAGACAATAACAGTAGGACACAGTATGAGAATGAGAGACTCCAAGAGAGAAAGTGAAATGAAAAACAATTCTGCATTATGAAGGGCATTTTAGACATTTATACACTCTATCCAACTATGACTCTTTGGTGTAGTAGCATATTGGGCCACATACGGCAAACCAGCTGCTTCACAACACAGGCTCTACAGTCTGAACCTACTCTACTAAAAGAATGGCAAGAAGTACAGTTTGATGTCTCTGTATAAACAGTATGGCACAATCAGTTGCCAAATTTGTGTTGCCCTACATCATACAGTAAATCATCACCCAACCCTGGAAACAAGGGTACACAAAGGTGCCGTTCACCTTGTTGCTTTTCAGTTACGCTTAAACAATTTTCCTTGAGATTTGCTGTGTACATAGGGTGATGCGTTGGACTGTGAAGGGGATGTATTCAGTCACTAATTACGTTCTGATCTGTAGCATGTAAACAGGAATCAATTATGAGGAATCGTTCTATAAACAACTCATGTAAACATTTTAATCTAAGATCGTACTGTCTAACTTAGAATAAGGTCAGTACTCATTTCTGTTCTTGTAAGTTACAGTTTGATTCGACTGTGTCACACAGAATGAGGTCATATAATTTCTGTATGTAAGAAGATGAAGAGAAAAAGGGTGGGAATGTAAGAGACGAAACAGAGCGAGGCCGTACTGCAGTCAGTGGGAGAGTCTCCTTTTTTGCCGCAGTTCACCTGTTTCCTCATGCCTGACAGTTTCACCTTGTGTCCATTCTTATCTCACTATCCTCTCTCTCTCCCCTTTCCTTCCTCGTCCTCTTGTAGTGAGAACTCGGAGATCTGTCCCGACGACAAGCAGAGGAACAAAGCCAAGTCTGACGAGGTACAGAGAACATTCACGCCCTACAGTCTTCTGCATACTTTTTGCCTTAAATTTTAAAAAAGCATTGAGCTTTGAGTTCACTAGTGGCCCAGACTATACAAGTTTGGATATGTAGACACGCATACACAAACTGACAATATATATTCCTTCCATTGCTTACTGCAGCAAGAGATCAGAATAACAGACTGCATGTAAATGAACACGGGGTTTCAAAGTGTTGATTCTCAGGATGCCGTCCTACACTCAGCCTTCCTGCTTCAGTTCCAACGTCTATCGGTCTGTGTTGTCCTTTGTCCTGACTGTTGCCATGGTTTCCCTGTTGCCAGGACAACTGCCAGGTGTTTTACATCCACAACCTGCCAACCAGCGTGACCCAGAACATGCTGAGGAAACGCTTCCAGGTTTTCGGTAAAGCGGAGGACTGCAAAGTCATCATCTGCAACGAGTAAGTGTCCCGATGTAGACTGCTTGAGCTGAGGAGGACGGATACTGTATGAGAACTTTGCTTTTGCGCTATGGATCAAAGTTTGTGTGTATGCAAGTTATACTGACTTTTTAATGAGATGGAAGTACTTTAGTAATATAATGTTGCAGACGTCATTGATTCATTCTAGATTGAGATGTTAGTGATTGAAAAACTAAGTCACCGGGCTTGGTAAATGAAACGTAATTAGTAAGTCATCAGAAATGCCTGTCTCAATTTCCCTGAAGTAATCTGGCAACCTGTGGGAAATAGTGTTGGGACACAAACAAAACAAAAGATAATGAGAAAATAAGAAGGCAGTATTTTTTCATGCAATGATCCAAATCTTTTTTTAAAGGGTGGGCCACAAACATTTTGAAGTCTTCAGCAGGAAGGAAAATCACAAACTTTGACTATATGTTGACACAGATATTTTATAATCCACTTCCACAATCTATTCTATATCTTTTGCCTGAAATAAAACGTACTATTGCAAATTAAAATTGTAATGACTACAGCAACAGTTTTTGAGCCTCTGGTGAGTCATTTTATGAAACTATTTTCAGTTCTAGATCTAAAAAGTTGGGACACTTAAACCTTATATTGTATGAGAGCTAACCAATGAGACACCTAGCGCTAACAGCACTCTCGGTTTCAAACAGTTTCTCATGTTTGTCGCACCAGGTGCTCAGACTATTGCCCTTGGCCAAGGCACTGATCTTGAACTTAATAAGGGTGCCCTCGTTTTGTCCTAGACAATCCCAGACATTTTTCATTTGACTTATTTTGGACATATTCTGTTAAAATTGATACAGTGCTGAAATACACAGTACAGGGACAGATCAGATCAGTAACAAAGGAGATGTTTTGGGTTACATTTCATACCATTTCAGTGCATTGAATGACAGGGCGGATATGATTGATTCAGCTTTCTCCATCTCTCACGATGCCAGTATGTACCTTCCTCATCTGCTAAAAAGCAAAATGTCATCATCTTAATGCATGTGTCTGTCTCTCTACCTGTCTGGTTGTAGGGAGCGCTGTGGGGTGATAAAGATCCGCCAGCCAGGGGTTCAAAGACACTGGAGAGAACGGGAGACTGTTTTCCAGAATGGACCTGCGGGCCTAAGGAGGCTAACAAGGAAACGCTACATAGATCTTGGTAATGAACACACACACACTGACAAAGATACAAGTGGCTATGGTAAACTGGCCCAAAGTACACCAGGCAATGTTGGTGGCCCCTAGTGGCAGCGAAAGCTGTTTGGCAATCTTGGTAATTCAAAATTGGTAATGCTGGAAGCTTGTTGATGTGGTGATTACTGGCCGATTTTTCTAGTAGTACTAGTAGCTAGTTGTGTTTGTAATAGAGTTGTCAGTGGTTTGCAGTTGGACAATGGCCAGATTTGTGTGTCAAAATTGATCAAAGCTGAACCCCTACGAGAAAGCACCACGCAAGTTTACTGCACCACCTTACTGGGTTTAAGAAGCACACAGTCCATTTGAAATGATCTTTACGTTAATTGCTCTACCTAAAGAAAGATTGAGAGGGAATGTTCTCTACAAGGACTTGGAATTAGACTTTAATTTATTGAATTTGAAAATGACTTTTTTTTCTGTGTTGTAGATGAGGCAGGTCCGGGCCCTGTCAAAAGCAAGTACGATGCACTGGACTTTGACACTCTGCTGAAGGAGGCCCAGAAGTCCCTGCACCGCTGACAGCACAGCACCCGTGACTGGTCAGCCTTAGTAGACTGCAGCAACACCCCTCCGACAACATGGCTCTGCCCTCAGACAGGCCTCTCAGTACCTCCATGCAAGGCAACCTCGCAAAATGTTTACATTTTTACCGTTGGAATAAAGTAACGATAAGGACCTTGTTGTTTTATAAGTTTCTTTCACCGGAGGATACTGCTTAAAAACGAGGAAGCCACTGGGAGTTCAGAGGAGATTAAAGACAATGGAGGACACAGGACTTTAAACAGCAATGGTACAACAACGATAATGATACAGTTCTCTGCTGAACAAAGCTGTCTGTGTTGGTGACATCATCACCCCGCCTTGGAAGAGCGGGCATGAGAGACCTCTGTAGCAAATCCTTGCTATTCCTGCGTTGCGTTGGTCGTCGTGGTGTGTGTGTTTCTGCGTGTGTGTGTGTTCTTTGTTCTGTTTGTTTTGTAAAAAAAGAAAAAAAACCTCCCTCTCTCCAGTCACGGGTGGTGAACCTGCAAGCTATGTTCACCATGAAGTTGTGTGGTTGTGTAACCAGAAAAAAAAAACCCTGCTTTGTTTTAGCGAAAAATTGTGGATGTTATAAATTTTAAAATCTATTGTGTGTGCGTTATGAACAAAGAATATATAAAAAAAAACATTTAACGTAATCATTTGATGACTGATAAAGTTTACAAATCTAAAATGAAGAAGAAAAAAATCATGTTTTTTTCTTTTTTGTAATTGTAGTGCTTCCTTGATTTGATCTATGCACTGTAAGGAGGCAAATGTCTCCGCTGTCCTCCACTTCCCCACTTTTGACTAATCTCTAACTCTGCCATGCTGACTATTTTGGCTTCTGCTACTGGCTGCTGCAGGCTCTGTTTGGTAGGCGTTTTATACATTAAGACCCCAACTTGGTCCCAGGAAAAGTTTCACTTCAATTATTTTTATCCCCTTCGAATTAAAGCATTTATTGGAAGACCTGTTGCACAGGTTGTGAACTGGTTTCAAAATATGTTCAAACAAGAATGGCGTATGGAGTTTGATTTTATTTGTAAAAAAAAATCCTACTACATGATAAGGTTAAAGTCGTCATTATATGTCATAAGGTTAGGGTTGGGTAAAAACGGGTGTTGTGTCAGAAGTGGATCAAAGTCAGGATAAGCATTAGATTATCTGTGGAGAAGTACTAGAACTAATAGTTGAACACCAATGCCCATCCCCAGAGCTGACACTTAGACATTTCTTTAAGTAACTGCCAAATGTCCATCCTGGAAATAATTCTTTGTGACGCCATAGTATAGAGGACTATTGTTAATAAAGTTCATTGACGTTCACATGGATTCAGTCTGTCAATTGTTTCTAAAATACAACAAATTGGGTAGTGCCAAATTTCTTCAGTGATTCAGAACAGTCTCTCCATTTAGAAAATGGAATGGTCCATTTTTACAAAAATGTTTGGCTTCATTGGTTGATTCCAGGTGATTTTTTTCCACATCAAGAGGGGTCTTGATGTATCTTTGATAGGGTCCCAATGAACATGTGTCTGAAACAAGGCTGCAGCCTAACGACACCCCCCGAATGCCACAGCCAATGCAACAGTTACTGTTTACATTTGGACTGCAGCAAGCAGGACTAAAATGGGGAAATAAAGTTGGTAGCCAATTGACGCTTTCAGTAATGAACTCAGTATGAATTCATCACATCCACACTTTGTCCTGATCATCCCAGTCCAATCTTCTTTCACATAACGTCCATCAGTGATAGTCATTTTAGGACAGTACTGTAAATTGGGCATTAGTGCTTGATGTTTGGTTAGCTTGACATTGGTTTCAGAGTACAAAGGAGAACAAAACCATTTTGCTTTTAATAGTCCATCCATGGAATATTGCCATTGCAAGTAGATGAATCTGCCGGTTCAAATGGAATGTATTCAAGAATCTGAATGTAATCACCGTGTTTTCCCCATTTTTGCTTGCCCAAAGGTTGTGGAGCTTTTTGGTGCTTTAAAAAGGTAGACTTGCTTAGTCAATCTGTTGACTACCTGCGACTGATTCTGGCTTGTAGTGCAGTCTGGGTAACGCCTAATTTATGCCTGACACAGCCAGTAGCACCCGCCGTGAAAAGGGAGAGAGCCTCCAAGTCTGCCAATCTCGTGGCCACCTACAACACAGCCAGGGAACGAGCGAGGGATGGGCTTGAAAGTAACGAAAAGTTTCGGACGAGAATCCGATTTCTCGTTTCGGAGGTACTGTATCAGCTGAGCATCTCTACCTCACATCCATTCATCCCTGCTCCCCCTGTCCTTTTATTTTCTTGTTCTACTGGATGCTCTCCCCCTCCTCTTTTATAAGTTTCACACTCTTTGTTTTGTTTTTTGTCAGAAATGTTCTCTCTGTAAGGGTTTCCCCAACTGATGGGTGGTTATGGGTCGTTATGGGGTTTGTGTTGCTTTTTTATATAATGACTCCTACGACTAAGCCCCTTGTGACGGGAATAATCTCTCTTTCTCTCTCTAACTCTTTTCTTTGCTTGCCTCATAACGGTTTTTAGCGTGTCCGTTTCTTGGAGTCTCGACCTTGTGTCCTTGTGTAACTGAGTGTTTTGTCTTTGTCTCGTGTTTGAGTCGGACACTGCTGACACTTGCAGGTCAGTTAGGAGGGGACGGGAGGGGTTGAACAGTGGCTTGGTGGTTGGTTGGGTCCTTGATGGCGCTTGGAGGGGAAGATTCCCAGTTTTCTCCCCCCTGCTTACTTGTTTTCTTCAGGGACATGCCATCCCTACTGACTTCCCTGTTCCTCCTCTTCTTGCCCAGGAATTTCAATAAAATGCAGCCCGACCTTTTCTCTAACTTTAACTCAAATCGCTTTCTGTCTCTCGGTGGGTTCAAGGCCTTGTTTACAGGTCTTCCCGAATCCTTGGTAAACTCCCTGCTTTTTAACAGATAATCCCTCTCTACCAACCTTCTTCCTTGTCCTTTCTCTATCTAATCAACTCCTTGGTAACACACACAAAAAATTGAATGTTTACATTACTCGATTCTCCTTTGACTTTATTAGGAACGCACACTAAGTACAAAGGCGCCTTATTCAGTGTTAAAAAATAACAGCAAGTTAAGTGGCCTCGAGAGATGCACCTTCTCCAGGCTCACTGATGTCCAAAACTAACAAAAACAATTTAGTGCTATACATACTGATTGAGAAACTAGGTGTAAACTTTTAAAACGGAAAAAAAATACAAACTTTAACAAAACTAATCGCAAACAACTGAATGAGTATTTGTGCTTAGTATGTATACTACTAAAAAGTGAGAGAATGTGCTGGTTTACATATTAAAAAAAGAAAATATAATATATGAATATAAAATGTGTATATAGCACTATGCCTCGTTGTAAACATAAAATGTATTGTGTGTTCTTTTTTAAAGGTGGCGGGTCACAGTTGATTGCTAATCAAACAGGAGATGGTCAGGTCGGTTTTGCTCCATTGAGTTCATGTTTGTTCAGTACAGGGAGGAAATTAAGGGAAAAAATTAAGTTGAAATGACTTCACACAAAGTCCAACACTGTTGTAAAAGAAAGACAAAAAAGATACAAGTATCCCTTTAGACTATCACACTAGAAGGTTCTATTTCTTTGCTGTTTATGAAATGACTAAATATTTTTTAATGTTTGTTTCTGTTTTTTTAAAAAGCAATTTGAAATGCAATACATAATAATCTTATCTTTAAGACAGCCTTTCCGAAAAACTGAGGTAATAATGTACAGTGTATGGTTGGTTGTTGAACTACAACACGGGCAATCTTTGAGCAGCGGATTCAATAGGCTACTGTACTGTATGTAGACTGCTGTTAAACACAAAAAAATCATAAAAACAAACTACAGAAAGAATGTGGTCAGCTGTGTGTAAACACATAACACGTATACAAAACAAATTGTACTAATATACTCTTGCACAAATAACGTCCCAAGTAGAGAAATATCTTCACAATGTTTTCTTCTCATTGAAAGGAAGCTGTTGTAACTATGTTATTACCACATTCGATGGTGCACAGGTTTGTTCAAATCTGAGTTGCATTGAACACTCACTTGTATTACGGTAACGGCTAATAACTATACATATTTGACTCTGGTAAAGGAATGTGGGAGGGAGGTAAAGAAGAAAAGAAAAAAAAAATACAGTTGTCGCTGGTTTGACCCAGTTAAAGTTTCAGACTAGTTGATACAGATGAGGTAGGCACTGTAAAAATCCCAGTTTCACTGCTGCACCTTTACTTCATCCCATAAAGGAAGCATTTGGATTCAATCAATTATTATCAAATACAAGTTACAGAACGGTATAATGGTACAACTAGCTAAGAGTTTTGCGTTTGTAAGATAATGCAATACTTAAGCAGGATAGATGCAAAATAAAGCACAAAGGCAAATTTGTGAATGTCGAATAAGAAGAGGGTGTATGTTTCTTTACTACCTGAGGGGACGTGACAGGCAAGAACGGGTCGGAGATCAAGGGTGTGAATGGGAGCCTTCAAACCTGTGTGGAAGATGTTTAGTTTTTTACCTTCAGAAACACTTTTGGTAAGCAAATGTTAACTTTTTGCTGACCTAAACAATCTGTTTGGCCTTTTCGTGGAGGAAGAGCGTACACAGTTTCTACATGCAACCCAAAATTCAGACTGGCAGGAAATGTGAGTGTGCAGTATGTGGTGGGATTTCTACAGTGGCTGCTGCTGTGCCTGTGAGGGTTCCTCCATTGTTACAGAGGGTATTGACATCAAAACAACCCAATTTTTCAACATGGCAAGCCTTAAAAATCAATCGGGGAGGGGGGGGGGAACAAAGCTACCACTAGCTTTTATTATTACTGTCTGAACTCCTTTCCAATCCAATGTGGTTTATTATTAAATAATTACTGACGTAATTAAAACTTTTTTCAATAGCCATATTATAAAAAGGTATATACATATATATGAATATATATTTGTGTGTTTGTGTAGATATCTAGATGATTATATACTTTCTTATAGAAAACTTTGATGTTGACCATTCTCCTCAGTGTTTTGAGAACACGTTGACACATCTCAACACAATACCGCTGTCCGCTTGGTCTAGGTCCTAGGTCGATGGACAACGAATCCAAATAATAAAAAAAAGTCAGAAAAAAAAAACCTTCCAAAGGGAATTACCCACGTCAGAATGCAATACCTTTCTTTCCACTCTTCATTTCAAAAGAATGGAAAATGGCAAGAAAACCATAAAACTTGATAGGCAAGTTGACCAAAAAATTTAATTTCAACAATAAAGAGCGTGGCTCGTGTAAAATGTGACATTTTCGACGGCCACGTCAGATTAAGTTTTATAGATGTGATGTTTCCAATGCCATGGCCCACTAAAACACTTCATTGTTTTTCTTTGTCACTTACTGTTTCTTAAGTTCAGAAAACAATGTATCTGTCAGCTAGCTGCACCATCAAATTAGCCCCTACCAGGACAGTGCTTGCAATACCGGCCTGATTCTGGATTCCACTTCCGTCTTTGATCTGCAAATGTGTCGCATTTCAACATCAAAAGTTGTACAATACACATAAAATAATGGGTAATCTGTCAAACTTGATGGCAACAGTGATGTCAAATAGGCACTAAGTAGGGACTGCAAACTGTCAAAATCTGCTAAATGTGAGTGGGTGTTTTTTTGGTGGAGGAAAATATTTTGACATAAAAGGGCATACATTGTTTTTGTTGTTTTTCATTACTATTGATTTTATTGTCTATTTACATCTAATGACTATCAAATTCACATAAATGATTTTTTTTTCTTTTTTTAACTTAGTTTTTGGTAAAAACAAAAAAGGTAAATACTGCTAGTGAGATTTTATATTTTTACATATGTTGGTTTTATTTTGTTTCTTTTTTTTTTATTTATACGCCACTTAGTTTGGATGTCTTCAAATGGTGTTATTTTCTCTGTTTTTGTGTGATTTCATATGTCTTGAGAATGTGGAGACAAAGGCATTTCAGTATTTTTGAATTGTTAAAATCTAGTTTCATAGAAGCGGAAGTATCTGATGTTATAAATTATATTTTAATTCATGTAAATAGTTTAAAACAGAAGACTATGGCTTCCTTTTAAACTGAATACATTTCTCTTCAGAGATTGTTTACATTATGAAACTGTAGAGATGTGCTCCTCATATACTGTATAAAAGTACATATATTCATTGATTTGCCTCCAAAAAATAAAATCCTAATGAACAGCATCTCAGTTCTTGTGGTGATACCTTTTTTCACTGTTGGCTGTATTTATGGTGTTTCATTCAAAATATCACTTTTACCATATTTTCTCTGAATTATCTAGAGGAAGTTGGGTCTAGCATTTAGTCAGTTCAAAACATAAGAGTGGTGTAATTTAAAACCAACAATGCACCTTTCAGTATGCTCTATGTTCTGTCTGGCCCACTTGTTTCTACTGAAGATGTAAATCTTTAAAAATGGGTAGAAAGCTGGATATTGTAGTTTTTAGCAAACATTTAGAAGAACTAAATCAACTACAAATGTGGGAATACTTTGTGTATCTATGGTACAGTAGGAGCTCATTTGTGTTTTTGGATGGAGCTCACAATGGAGTTCTATGGCACAGAGGCATAGCATACACACACAATACTTAGTATCAGTTCACTGTTGGTTTGACTCTTTTTATGGGATTTGTTGACAATAAGAAAAATGACATTTTTGGTTGTTTTGAAAATACTTTTTTAATCTATCAAAACGCATCCAGTCTTCTCTTTACACATGACTCGTCTGTGGAATTCTGTCGTGATTTGACCGTGATAAAACTTGCCCTGTGGGTGGTGACGTCCTCAGTGTACACTGCATGACTAACTTTTGCTCTGGCCCTAGAAAAGTGCACTATATGATTATAGGATTTTTATTAAATTCTACACTCCAAATAGTGGTTAAGACACACCTCCAGGAGAAAAACACTTTTTAAAATGGGAAATCTTTAACTTCAGGGTTCAAATGTTATCAACTGGACTTTTAGCAGGGTTCCTACAAATTCCTTACTTTCTAAACTCAATTTTTCAGACTTGTCTTAAGAGTTTTTTTAGACCATATTTGACTTCTGAGTACAAATAGCTAGATGCTTTTTATGTAAATAAATAGTTTAAAATCCAACTGTTAACGATGTATGCCATTATGTTGCTAAATCATTTCCAGAAGATCATAGCTAGCTACTAGCTCATACAAATCAGCTTTCTTTCCCCAATTGGATCCTTATACAGCCAGGCTTTATATTTGTGATTGTCAGGCCAGTCCTCAGAAAGCTTGCTTTACCCACTGTGACCATTCACACTCCTACGCAGCTGGAGCACAGTGTCAAATATCTCCACCTAAAGAGGAAGAAAACTAACCAGGGTCCCTACTCGTATTGTTTTCCCTCAACAAATTGATTTAAAAAATTACATAATTACATTTTTGTGGCATCTGTGCAGCTTTGTTCATTCACTGTGTCCATGGAAACAACGATAAACACAGCCATAAAGGTTTCCTTACACAGAAAAGCTTATCTGTTTACTTTTGATAACTACATCACTGCAGACAAGCATAATATCTGATTACTACTAGACATGTTCCGATACCATTTTTTCCCTCCCGATACCGATTCCGATACTTGTGCTGTGGGTATCGGCCGATACCGAGTACCGATCCGATACCAGTATGTTATAAAAAAAAATATCATCCTGTGATATGATTATCATTGCTGGTAAAGCCTGGGCTCCAGCGTTAAACCCTTCATGTAAAAACATATACTATAGCAGCAAATTCAACCCATCTTATATTTTTAGCAGATCTACACGAACAAGGTATACCAAACATAGTGCGAACAGCAACTTAAACTTAACGTTGTGTTAAAATTAGCAAGAAGAGCGTCGTCGCCACCCTTGAGATTTTGCAGTGTACTGGTGGAGATAATCAGTCGTGAAATATTTCCACACTGCGACAATAATACTGTAGTTAAGCTTAGCTCCAAGCGCCTCGCGGCTCAACCGCTCTGGGACACACGTGTGTCGTGTGTGTGGTGTCTGTGTCACCTGATCGAATCCTCCTCGTCCCTTCCTAGAAGACCAGCAGCTGCAGGTTGCACCACAGGCCACCTGCGTTTTAAAGAGCGGTCGAAAAGGAACCTGAAGGAACTGTACCAGAGCTTAACGGAGCTAACCAGTAAATAGATTACTAATTTAATAAATTACGGTTGGATCGGTGCCTGGACTCCAGTACTCGCGGATACCGATGCCAGCATTTTTGGCAGTATCAGAGACATTTCCGATACTGGTATCGGAATCGGAACAACTCTAATTACTACTATTAGTGTGATCATTTTATTTGTACAATTTCTAAATTTTCATACTTATCCGAATCCGGAAAATACAAAAATCACATTCTATACTTTTCCATACTCCATACTACACAGGGTTCCTGTGTTACTAAATACAATTAGATACATTTCTC